CTGACAGAGTAAGATTTTAGTATTTCAAATCTTCTCAACCATCTGTTAATTCGTTTAACTGTAATGTTACTAAGATCTAAATATAAATTCATTTATATTTTTAATTAATTTAAACTTTTCTTCAGATGCTCACGGGACAGTCTACAGCTTTTTGAGTGTCCCGATGTGCATTTCTCAGACTGCAGTGACTCTGCCATGCATGTCAGCTGCGTCTGCTTCAGACTGGTCCTCTCCCCTTCCTTTGGCCATGCTTTTCCCTTTGGCATTTAGAAACATTGCTGTCTAAGTCCTGTCTGTGTTTTTCTTTAGCCACATCAAAACTCATCTTAAAGCTTGTATTTTCTTTCTCTTTTTTTTAGTTGCAAAATATTATTGTGAAATGATACTATTTTTTTCCATGGTTTTCTCCATGGGTACATAAGATTGGCATGATGCTGAACTTCTGTTTTAAAAAATAATCTACACATATGTGTACACACACACACACAATACATATAGTCCTTTGATACTGTTACCAGAATCTAGACAGAAGCCTGATTCTGAGGGTCCCCACGAGACTTCCCTTGGCCTCTCACTCTAGCTGCCCAAGTAGTAAAAAGTAGTGGTGAACTCACACTGGGAAGAATTGGAGAAACATTGGGGATGGGGGAGAAGTATGTTTGTGGTCAAACCATGATCTGGTTGATCATTACCTAAGGATGACCTCTGGGAATCTCACCAACAAGAAGAAAGTGGGTGCTGCCTAGAAATAGCTTCAGTTCTTGTCACAGCGTGCTTACAGATAATGCTTAAAATTCCTGGAGTCCAACGTGACTGCAGTAAAGGATGAATAGGAGAAAAGATCAAGTCAGAAAAGCAAGGTGGATTTAGTTCCCTTGGGTTTAGAGGGATGACTGGAGATTTCTAGTTACCATGCCAGTGGTCAGAAACACGTAAACGTTTGCAGTTGGCAGTCTGCTGATTCTCCTGTCCCTGTGCATCTTACAAGTGTCTTGTTATTCTTACCATTGCGTCTTTAGCCTTACAGGGGAGGAGTGCCAGCTGTAGATGAACTCTCCTTATCTTCATCCTCCTGTATACTATATGTCATCTCTAAGTTACTTGTATGTAATACTGAGCATAATGTAAATGTTAATTAAATAATTGTTAGACTATATTGTGTAGGGAACAGTGACAGGGAAAAAGGGATCTGTGTGTGTTGAGTACAAATGCAGATTTTTTTTTTCTTTTTTTGTTTCGGTATTTTCACCGTGCAGTTAGTTGAATCTTTAGATATGGAGTCCACAGGTATAGAGAACTGACCTTATATGTTTCGTACTTACAAAAATATGTGTATGACTTAAAGACGATTAAGGAAACAGTTGTGTTTCTATCACCAGCTTTTAAAGGTGAGGTTTTCCATTGTCTGAAGCCCCCATCTTGGCTCTTTTGTTGATGTTTATTTATTGAGAATTTGTGTTTTCTCTCTGGTTCCAAACAATGTTTTTCTCTGGCTTAACCTGTTTCGGGGGTGCGGGGAGGGGGTTAGGGAGGCTGGGGATAGGAAGGGTGCTGGAGATGAAGCCCAGGGCCTTGCCTGTACTGCACAAGCATTCTACCACTGAGCAGTATCCTCGATCTCTGTATATGGTTTTACATCTTTGAATTTTGTGGACATTGTCCTATCAAACACTCCTAGGTTTCTTCTTAATAGTCTTTAAGTCTTTGCACATCGCCCCTGCTGACTCGTCTCTTCTGAAGTTCTGTTTGTTTCCCCTCCACTCAAACTTCAAAGACATTTTTTTTCTTGTCCATTTTTCTGTTTTGGATGATCTTGATAGTTTGTGTGGGTTTGGGTGCTAAGTATTCACTCGCCACTAAACTGCTTCTTCAGTGCTCTTAGTTTGTGTGCATTCTTCTTGTAGAAGCTATCAGTAGTTAGTTTTTGTATCTCTTAAAACACTCATATGTAAGTATTTCTTCTTGGTTGGAGATATCTAGGTCACAGCTAATATTTAAAAATGAGTGTTGCCGGGCATGGTGGCGCACACCTTTAATCCCAGCACTCAGGAGGCAGAGGCAGGCGGATCTCTGTGAGTTTAAGGCCAGCCTGGTCTCCATTAGTGAATCCAGGCCAGCTGTAGCTACAGGGAGACCTTGCCTCAAAAAGACAAAAAAAAAAGTGTGTCATGAACATACTAAAATGGATGTAAATCGTATGTATTCTCTATGTGGTTGTAGTATTAACTCTAGCTTCCACACTTTTGAACATACTAAAATGGATGTTAATCTTATGTATTCTCTATGTGGTTGTAGTATTAACTCTAGCTTCCACACATAGCGTACATTTTTCTTCATATTATTTACCTAAGATTTTAATTTCATTAGTAATGATTTGAACTTTAGGTTAAATAAGAGACGGTCATAATTTATAATTTTATTTCCTTTATATGATAGAATTTATATCTAAGTATTAAATATGTGTTCTCTAAAAGCTTCTGTATATTTTTGCAGATTTAAGAAGCTGTTAAAAATGACAAAAAAGGAATTAAATGAACACAAAAACAAAGAGTTCAGTCTCCATCAAGATATAAAAACCAGTCAATTTGAAAACGATATGCCAACTAACGTGCTGAAAAACAAGGTAATTTTTAATCAATTTTGGAACCAAAAATCTGATTTTGAGTAATGTAAATCTGAGTGCACTGAGCAGTGAAGGTTATTGTTAACAGACTTGATACTAGTGCGAACTGTCATTTTCTATTAGAAGGGCATACTGTTGATTTTCCTGTGTCTCCAACCCTGGCTGCTGGATAATCCACTATGACATGATTGTAAATCATGAGTCTTAGCTTCATATTTAGACCGTGTGTTCCACAAGGCATCTAGATTTCTTATTTCAGAAGACATTTTAGCATTATTTGTCAATCTGACGTGGAGAGAAGCTACATGTATTTGGTTCAGGCTCTTATTTTAGATTGAGGTCAATTTGTTTCTTCTCCACTTGGCATCATCTGAGGTGGCATGAAGCTGGGAACCATCTGAACTAAAGGCTGCTCATCCTCCTGGTTGCCCCTTGAAGCTGACCTTTGAGCCTTTAGAAGCAGTCGTCAGCTGGACTTCCTACAGAAGGACTCACTAAATAATCATCGTAACTACAGTAAAAAAAATTCTTCCCAACACTACTGTTGAAATCCCATCAAATTATTTAGTACGCTACTGAATTTTTATTCAATAAAAAAGGACCATGTCAACAAATTTATCCTGGGGGATGTTATTGTTCCTTACCAAGAGTCATTAAGTATTATTTTCAGTCTTGTTCTAGGAAAGATTTATTAATACAGGCCTGAATAACTCACTATATCCCTAAAACTTCTTTAGAAATTATGGAGAGTGAAGATGGTGAAAATGGTAACAGATTTTCTACCAAAAAGTTGATTTAGAGTCACTTTGAGAAGGGAAGATAGGAAAGAGTCATATGAAAACAGCTAGCATAAGTGCTACCGTGTAAAACGGTGGTCGTCGGGAGTATGTCTCATGACTGGTTTTCACCTTATTTCCTGAGTAATTGAGGAACCACATTGTAAGAATCCAGTGCGGATTAGATTTTATTACAGCTGAAGGTGTGCAAAAGTTTGGAATTGGTTTTGTGCTACCCTGTTCTCAGCCTTCTTCCTCCATTGCCAAACTGTATTTTATTCATGCAGATTGATGACCTTACAGCAAAACTAGAAATTGCATCTTCAAAATGTCTACATCTGGATAAAAAAAATCAACTTCTTCAGGAGGAGTTATTATCTATGAAAACTATACAAAAGAGATGTGGAAAGCTAGAGAAGAACAAAAAGAAATTGGAACAAGAAGTAGTAAACCTCAAAAGTCACATGGAAAAGACCCTGGTAGAACTTGGCCAGGTAGAGCAGTATAAACGGGAGATTGAAGAGAAAGCAAGGCAGGAGCTGGTGGAAAAGTTAAAGCAAGTCAATCTGTTTTTGCAGGTTAGTTTTTCTGTGCTGCTCTTTAATTCATTTCACTGCAAATTATATTTTGGATCTATACACAGTGTTTCCTTTACAATTTGTTTCATTGATTTTTAGAAGGAATATGATGTGTGATTCTTCTTTTAAGTATTTGTTTTTCATTATTATAACTCAGTTGCTCTTTCGGAGTAATGGTTTTCATCAGAGAATCATTTGACCTTTTAAGGCTAGTTAGCATAAATTAAGACTAGAAGGAAAATAAGTATCATGATGTATAAATTATATGATACTCTTGAGATATTCTTAAGTCATCTTAGTTCAGTTCTTAAGTTTTGGAACTGGTTCTGTTGTTCGTTGGATTATCAGATATGAGAACTAACATGAGAATCACTGAGGACTGGGGAGACACTGTGGTAAAGTGTGTGCTTAGCATGCAGGAGGCCTTGGAGTTGAGTCCCAGGACAATTAAATAAATAAATAAATAATAAATAAATAAATAATATTCAGTTTTAAAAATAATAAGTAGTACAGTTGATAGTAATGATCTTTTTAAGGTTTTTTTTGGTTTTTGTTTTTACTTTTTATGTGTATGTTTTGCCAACATGTATGTATATGCACCATGTGGGTGCCTGGTTCTCATGGAGACCAGAAGAGGGCATCTGATCTTCTGCAACTGGAGTTAGAGATGATTGTGAGCCACGATGTGGGTACTGGGAATCAAACCCAGGTCCTCTACAAGAGCAGCCAGTGCTATTAACCACTGAGCCATCTTGCAACCCCTGATAATTATTTTAAATTCCAGCAACAGCAGCTTTTTTTCACAAACTTAAATTGTTCTCTGAATCACTGACTCAAAAGTTAAAGAAAACAAATGAATAATAATAATTTTGATTATAATTGTTTTTAAAATACAATGTTAATTTGCTTTAGACACAAGCAGTATCTCAAGAAAACTTAGAGCAATTAAGAGAACAGAATACTACTTCCTTAAGAAACCAGATGGAACTCAGAATTAAAGACCTAGAATCTGAGCTCTCTAAAATGAAAACTCAAGAAGATTTTGATAAACTAGAACTACAAAAGTATAAGCAGCTCTATCAAGAAGAATTCAAAGTTAGAAAATCATTGTCAAATAAACTAAACAGGTAAGTCATAACATACAGTCATAGAAAATAAGCTCACTAATAATGGGATAGGTTAGTAGGACATGAAAACTAACCAGACAGTATAATTTTGGAATAGTAAATGAACCTCAGAATGTTAATTTGGGGTAGTTTGTATTCATTTTTGGTTTTGTTTATCTTAGTTATCCTGGTCTATTGGGTTTTCAGATAATTGTTTTTGACATTTTAAGACAGCTAATATTGTTATAAAATTGCTTGTCCACATTCCCTTAAATAGGACTAGTAACAAGTTTAATTGTGTTTTGTTTATTTGGTTTTTTTAAAAAAATAATAACTTAGGGGCCGGGCATGATGGCGCACACCTTTGATCCCAGCACTTGGGAGGCAGAGGCAGGCAGATCTCTGAGTTCGAGGCCAGCCTGGTCTACATAGTGAGTTTCAGGACAGCTGGGGCTACAGGGAGACCCTGTCTCAAAATAGACAAAATAATAATAATAACTTATGCCCAGGGTCAGGTTCCACCAGTATTCTCCTTTGGGCACTTTCAGAAGGCATTTGGTAATTTAATTTTCTTGAGTGTCATCTTCGACATTACCACTAGAGATTCCAGCAAATAAACTGTACTTTGCAGCATTCCTAATCTACGTAAAGATATATTTGTGATATAGGGAGCGTTTGCATAGGACTAGAGCAAAGTATAATTTGCAGACCTTTAAAAAGAGTTCTGTGGGCAGTGTGGGGGTGGAAGGTAAAAGGACAGGTCCCACCCCTGGTTCCTTGGTCAGGATCTAATGAGTTCATTGCCTCAAGCTTCTTCCATTGTTTCTGATCACTAACTCAGCTCTCTTACTTTCCACTAAAGGCTTTGCTTTGAATTCTTCCTTGATGTGATGCTTAATTTATGCTAAATTAAGTGCAAAATGTACAGATGTGCAAAATGTACAGATGTGCAAAATACAGATGTGCATTAAGTGCAAAATGTACAGATGGTCAAAGCAAGCGCTTTAGAAATCTTTTGAGGGGCGATTTTTTTTTCTTTTTCCTTTTTTTTTTTCTTTTGAGACAGTGTGTCACTATCTAGACCAGGCTGGCTTGAACTCACATCCTGCCTCTGCCTCTGTTTGGAGTGCTGGGATTAAAGGTGGGTGCTACCACTCCCAGCCCAAGGGATTTTTTTTTTTAAGCCCTAAATTGATTTACTACATAATAGATATTTCCATTGTTTTTCATTTTTTAAAAAACTTTATCTATTCAGGAAGTGAGGTCTTAATATATTTATACATACTGAAATGTCTGTTATAATAAAGCAAATCAGTATATCCATTATCTCACATAATTAAGTCCAAGTTCTTCTACTGACTTCCTCAAGAATCTTCTAAGCAACACTGTTACAGATTAAGCCATACATCCTAACAACCATTCCTGTTCCTCCTACTTTGAATTGCCTTTCAGGAATTCCTCTAGAAATACATACTTCTTTAGAACAATTTTAAACCTATAATGTACTGTACAGTAGCTATATTATACTATATATTATATGAAATGTCTGAACATTTTTAGTGTTACAACATTGTTTAGTAGGAAATTCCCCTTACTCATATAGCAGCTTTTGAAATGCATCTGATTTAGGAGTTGTTGGGGAGAACTTTAAGATTCTGATTATTTGCCTTTTGTAATCTTCATAGGACTAATGAGAGGCTAGAGGAGGCCAGCAGTAAACTACTCCTGGAGGAACAACAGAACAGGTCTTTACTGAACACTCTTAGTACCAGGCCTGTGGTGGCAGAAACAAAAGGGTTACTATAGAGACAGCACGAAGGCTGAACTGAAACAAAATTTCTAGAAGACTTGATTTATCATCCAGGTACAGCCTGTCAGCTCTGACCGCTGAAGCAGAGAGCTCAGAGGCTCTTAAAGTGACACTCTCCTAATTTCCAATGCTTATGGCAAGCATGGCTCCCGACAACCAAGGTGAATCATCGTGTTTTTCCTCTGGGTTTCAGATCTCTGATAATTTATCATTTTATAATTTTAATTATAACAACCTAGGATGAGCAACACTGAGCTGTTTAGTTGACATACTAGTGTCACAATAATTTATGTAAATAAAGAAAATAATTGTAATGTTTTAAAGGTCCTTGGAGCTCTCATTTTCAAACAAGTACTCATTGTGAACTTGGTTCAATAAATGTAGCTCAACCAGTACAATCATTTAAAAGTGTGTTTAAATTAGATTTTAGAAAATAAATATGATAGTCTGTAACTACAAGTATCATTTGAGGTGGTCTGGCATACCTCCTAAATGAGAATGTCCTCATCCTAGGTTTTCCATCTCTAATAAATGAATTGTTGCTATCTAAATGCTTATTCACTTGTGGATGTTTAAATTTAAAGGAATCAGATATATATACTGCTTATTAATTAAATTTAAATGTAACATTGCATAAGATTAATTTCTAAGTTAATTTTTTCCACTTTCTTAAATGTCTGTATCCTTAATTACTGTTGTACTTATTTAAGATAATGTCTCTGATTTAACTTAAACATTATAAGCGGTATTTGGCTCATTTCAGATGCATCAGGAGTTGGAAAAAAGCATAAATAGAGAACTAAAAGAAGGTATGTTACCAAAATTTATGGATCAAGTTTAGATTAATTTCTAAAATAAACTATAAATATTAAATTGCATGCCTTTTTGTGAATAGATTTTACATGTAAAACCATTTTTTTCCTCATGGGTGCTTGCTTGGACTCCCCTTTGAAGGGTGGTTGCTTGTACCAACTTTGAAGGGAGGTATCCCTTGCCTGGCATTGGGGTTTTGGGTAGATAGTCTGTGACTCTTTTGAGGAGCATCAGTCCATTATGTGAGGTAACTATACACACACACACACACACACACACACGTAATATGGTGTATATAAAACCTACTGGTCCAATTAGTGTTGGCCTTATTTGTATGTGATTAGTGCTGACCACTTGGGATTGGGGCCTTGTCCCTGAAAAAAACTAACTCTCCTTTCTCAGCAGCCATTGACAGCCTATAGATCTTCATCTGTGGGGCCTTGTGAAAATTTCATCCATGTTGTTATGTCAGCTGGTGTGCTCTCTACAGGTCTTGTGCAGGCAACCATATTGTTGAGGTTATGGATGTAACATCCCTGTCCTATCCAGAAGACACTATCTCACAGCAATCATCCTGGTCCTCAGCCCCCCGCCACACACACACATTACCCGCCCCAGCAGCCAGCAAGGTAAAGATTAGTGAGGTTTTTTTAGTCTGTGACTGCTGTGGGGAGCATTGTCCGCTCCCCTTCTCCACTCATGGTCTCCACTTTCCTGGCTTCTGTGGTTTACACCAAGTTATACAGTCAGACCTAAAAGTTCAGATCCAGGATCCACAAACAGGAGACAACTGGTATTCACCTTTCAGGGACTGAGTTACTTCACTTGTTGGAGACCTCTGTTATGCAAAGTGGAAGTCCCTTCACACCGGACAGCTCATGCAGCTCGGATCATGTGCTGCAGGCTCCTTTCATAGCGAGGTGCTTTCCGGCATCTTTCCTGTCTCTCCTTTTGAAGTGTCCGCCACCAATGCTATAACATAAACATGGCCTTTGGCTCTAACAGATACCATGCCTTCCTGTGATTTTTCCTAGCAGACAGCAGTCTGGCAGAAACCCACTTCCATATGTAAATAGAATGCTTCACAAAGCATCTAACAGCCAAAACTTTTACCACTACCCCCATGGTATAAAATATCCTAGTCTTCTCTCAATATTCGGAGCTGGAGCTAGCTAGGGTAGGAACTGAGACTTGGAATAAAGAAGCTGTAGACTTAGTTCTGTGTCTCCTGCCTGCAATCTAGCCTCCCCAGGGGGCGCACTCCCTGTTACCGACCCGCGGACACCCTAGCTTTCGCTGTCTCCGTACTCTTCCCTGTGCGGTTCTGTGGCCAGGAACCTTGCATCCTGAGGAAAAGTACGCAGGTGAAATAGAGATGGGATTTCGACTGAACAATGCTTCAGTAGCACAGGAAGCTGTCAGCACCAGAGACTCGGGACTCGAGCCGGTGGGAAAAGCCCGCGAGCCACCCCCCGCCGCTCCCGGAGCTGCCGCGGCCAGAGCAGCCTGTGGATCCACAGTGAGTCTGCGCAGGAACGCCGGGAGCCCAGCGTGCGCTCCCCATATTCACTCAGTATAATTTTTTCCACTTCCACTCATTTCCCTGTAAAATTTCATCATATCATTTTTCTTAATAGCTGAATAGAAAATCATTTACGACACCTTCACTATCCATCAGTTGGTGGCATCCAGACTGCTTCCATCCCTAGCTACCGTGAGTAGAGAAGCAATGAAAATGGCCAGGGAGGTATCTCTGTAGTAGGATAGTGAGTCCTTTGGGTCTATACCAAGGAGTGGTTAGCTGGGCTATATAGTAGATCTGTTTCCAGCTTTTTGAGAGTTCTCCACACTGATTTCTATAGTGGCTGTACCAGTTTGCCATCCAACAACAGTTATTAAGAATTTCCCTTTCTGGCTGGGTGTGGTGGTGCACACCTTTAATCCCAGCACTTGGGAGGCAGAGGCAGGTGGATCTCTGTGAGTTCAAGGCGAGCCTGGTCTCCAAAGCGAGTTCTAGGCCAGCTGGGGATACAGGGAGACCCTCTCTCAAAAAGACCAAAAAACAAATTTTTTTCGGGGCTGGAGAGATGGCTCAGCAGTTAAGAGCACTGACTGCTCTCGCAGAGGACACGAGTTCAAGTCCCAGGATCCATATGGCAGCTGCAAACCGTCCTTAACTCCAGTTCCAGGGGAATGCAACGCTCTCTTCTGACCTCCGCAGCATTGCATGACACGGTGCACTCACATACATGCAGGCAATACACTCATACACATAAAATAAAATTTTTTTTTAATTTCCCCTTCTGCACATCCTAGCCAGCCTTTGTTATCAGCTGTATCCGATCTTAGCCATTCTAGATGGTAGAGGATGAAATCTTAAAGTAGTTTAGAAT